AAACTGTAGGATGATGCCACAAAGCACATCTTTTACTGCAATCACAAGGAAAAAGACGTAGACACAAATGAACACTAGCGAAGTGACCAGCGTTGAAAAACACTGGAATAGCCTGAAAGCGGTGTGGAGTCAAACTTGCACGGAAGTTCTAGGCAGTAAGAAGAAACAGGACAAACTGTGGCTCACTAAGGACACATGGAGATTAAAAGAATAGGGAAGGATGTTGAAACAGAAGATTATCCAGTGCATCGATGAGCAACAAAACGGGAGTTGAATGCAAGCGACAATACGTTGAACAAAGGATTAAAGAAAAGTGCCAGGGAAGACAAAACAAAATATTAAGAAGCTATGACAGGTGAAGAGGAAGAAGGTACAGACAAAGGAGATCTCGCAACAGTCTACCAAACAATTAGGCACCTATCGCGGAAAAGTTCAACATAAATTAAGCCAGTGAAGGATGAGAATGAGAAGTCAATCGCCAAAGAGGTGAAGCAAAGGAATCACTGAGCTGAACACTTCAAAAGACTTCTAAATTGACTGTCACCTACAACGCGCCCAATAATACCAGCAGCGGAAGCAGAACTACTAGTGGACATCGACCCTCCGAGGAAGACAGAAATCCTGAAGGCAATAAAGATCTGGACTTCGCCGATGGTGATATTTGTCTGATTTATCACATACTGGAAGATATGCATGTGAACAGCAACAAGTTGGAAGAAGAAGCACCAAAGATAGGAAGGATTTCAGGTGAACATAGAGAAGACAGAGGTGCTGAGATTCCCGTCCAATAGCAACAGCAATAAAATCAACAACAGACGACAATCAGCAAAAATGGGAGGAGTCTGAAAGAAGCGATTTCCTTTACCTACCTGAGAAGCATTGTTTCAACTACAGGCGGATGGAATTGACAACGATATCGAAGCGAGGATCGGAACAGCAAAGCAAACTCTCATTACTCTCAAGTCTGTGTGGAGGTCAACAGCACTAATCTGCATGAAAAATAATATCCGGATTTTCAACTCCAATGTGAAATCGATACTGATAAACGGATCTGAGCCTTGACGCCGCGTCACGAAGGGCACTTAAAACAAACTACACACCTTCGCTCAATACTCAATATCAGATGACCTGTCAGAAAACATCAGCAACAGGGATCTCTAGTAATGAACGAACCAACCAAGCGGGAACTAACTGTGCAATAAACATCTTGGTAGAGATGGAGGTGGACTGGACATATTCTGAGAAAACCCTCAAGACAGATCTTCAAGTGGAGCCCGAACGGGAAGCAGCGAGTTGGCCGTCAGTGAAAGGGTTACATGGAAGAGGTTCTGTGAAGAAGATGTGAGAGCATGAGGGCAGACGTGGAGCCAGGTGAAAACGATGGTAGAGGACTTATCGAAATGGAGACACCTGGCTGAAGCCCTATGTTTCTCTACGAACTAAAGGAAACAATAATGATCAGTGAAAATAAAAAGAGTACTGTGAGATTCTTTGAGAAAGAATTCGAGGCAATTATCCAACGATTACTATAACCAGACTTTGAGTGACGTCTAAAATCCGAATACACAAGATTTGTGTAAAATACGGTACTATATTAAAAATGTAGTATGAAATGTGATTTACAAATCTCATTTGTGAGGTGTCTCTGTCTGAATGCTGTCAAGGGCAAAGTTAGTGTTTGGTAATAACTGCAGTTATTATTTAGCGCTTAACAATCACAAAATGGTAAACAGTTAGTTATAGGTAATGATAGTCAACAAAATTATATCCACAAAATCAGTGTTCGAAGGTAAAGGAATTACAATAAATTGTACAACTTCCTGGCTAGAAACACCAGAGAAATGAGAATTTTATGTGACTAAGTAATGTAACACAAAATTTGAAAAGCGCGTCAAGGTCAGTAGATAAAAACAACAGAGCTGTGTCGAAGGCGATCCGCGTGTTATTTAAACGGCTTGTGAATGCCAGACACGGAATAAGTGAATATGAAGAAACAGTGTTCGACAGTAACGAGTACACAAATAAAGGGTATAGAGCAGATAATGTTCAACTATAAGAAATTAGTTACCATACATCAAATGGAGCCAAAATACATCAGGTGGGTTAGACTTCGATCGCGAACTAATCCGTCTTTAAGAAGTAAGAAAATATAGTTTCGTCTACTGACTAATGATGAGTAGTATAAAGTTAAACACAAATTTGAAAAGGAAAGATGTGAAATGAATTCAGGCTTATTGTAAAACAATGTATACATGAAGTAGTGTGTCATATAGTTGGTTAACATTAACTTTGAATGGAATCGATTGATCAAATAATTTCAATCTTAAATGTCTGGCAGTAGTCATGAAGCAAACAAATTCACACTTAATAGCTTGAATCATTTTCAGCATTGGGTGTTGTGGGTTCATTATTCCAAAAGTACTTTATGTTCTACTGACAGAATTACCGGTGGCTTATGCCGTGGGACAAGCGAAACAGGGTTCGAATAGAGTTTGGAAGATGAAATTTCGATGTATGTCTTTGTATTCTTGCGTCACTGTGTACCATTTCGTCAAATGAATAATTCTTCCACATATAGTATTAAGTCCTTTCGCTGAATTCCTGTCACGGCTTCTGTGAGAGACGAATCCGCAAGCTCAGAGGTCTCTCACGAGGGAGGATTGAAGATGTCTGTGAAGGCAAACAAAATCACCACATAGTTGAAAGAAGTCCAGGAACTGATAGAATATGGTATAGGAAACGTTAGGATTCAATCTTCTCCTGACAAAATGGTGACAGTAAAGAACATTCCAGTCGGGAATTCGAGAAGGAAATTGTAGTAATACAGACTACGATGTCATTTCATATTTCTCTGACCAGAAGCCTCACAGAAGAAGTCTGACTGTGATTATCAGCATTCTGACTTCCAGTGAATTAGGTTCAAAATGCCTGTACCTGGAAAACATTTCACTATATTAATGAGTGCAGGTGAACATGGAATACGTGCCCAGGATTGAAGAAGTTGTCTAATATGTCAGTCATCCTCTATCATATGTGAAACAAAGGCGTTCAGTGGTCGACAGTGAATGCTTAGATATGATGTTTACGTTAGAATAATGCAGAGCTCATCTAATATGTCAACAGATTTAGATAGAAAATGATAAGTAGGCTTTGATAAGTAGGGATTGAGGATAGTAACAGGCCTAAGTGGGAATTAGTCGTCTTGGATAATAAGTCTCCTAGAATGCGTTTCCACAATGTCCACCTCTTTAAAATTATAAGCACAAAAAATAGCTCAGTTCTCCTCAAGTTTGATGAAGCAATCCCTATCAAACGCCTGAAACTGGAATTATGTGTTCAGAAAGAAGCAGTTATCATTCATTTCTTGCCTGATAACTGGTTATCATTATTCTCCCATTCACTTGATTACCTAATAATTAGCTTTAACCTCACCCTCCTTTGATATGGTGTAATTATGAGACTTTTATTTTGAACTCACTATATTATTACTCATTTTATTAGCTACCAACAGCTTACTCACCTCTTGTCTTTATCATTCAACTCCTTCATCACTGTATGCTTACAATAATTTTGTTCGAACTTGAAATCTTTAAGTGACAACTAAATAAGTTTAATTTGCTGAACACTGTTCATTCAGTTTGGAGCCTCCTGTCAACTGACATCACGTAACATTTGTAAGTACGTTAAAACTATTCTATGCATAAGCATAATAGTTTCTTTAGGCTGTAAACAGATAATGAGAAGCCAACGAAATCAATAATGGTTTCATCACCGGATATAGTTGATAAGAATTGGCCTCAGAATCCATCCTCAATGATCTCACCAGTCACCACCTCGTAATGCATATCCAGGACATATATTCCCTCGTTCATCGACCAACGATAATGAATAGAGCCTGAGAACATGAAACGTGCACTTCTGTTTATATTGAAGCGATATTCGGCTTCAAATTGAGTGCTTTGTTCTTCATTTTGCAAGTATTAGAATTTTACCAATTCCTAATCGCTATTATTTTCGGTGCCACTACGATGAAGTTTTGAAATAATTGTGATTATCTTTGGTACCTGTGCTTAATTTTTTTAAGTAACAATGCATTTGGCACGATCTGTGATCATTATTCAATGTAATACTTCGTCAATATGCTGAAATGGAAGAAATCCCCACTATATAAACTAAAGTCGTCAGATGTGAATTTGTTGAAAATAGGAAATCCTCACTCCTTGAGTTCAAGTCCACCCGAGGCTTCACACCCATCACATTTTGACTGTGATCACATTCCTGACGAAGCTGAAACCAGATTGTTGAAGGAAATATAAGAGTTTCATAATCCAAGTAGGAAGCAACAGATTGTCTGAAGACAGACCTTCAGGTGAACACACGGAGGTCAGGAGGAATGAAGACAACCAACCAAAAAATTGAAGCACTCATCACCACCTTTGTGATTAATATAGATGAGGTAATCCTTTTCCCCTACCTGAAACAGACAGTATCGAATCAACGAGAGGGAGGGTGGTTGAGAGTGCCAGGATCATTCAGGACTGAATTGAGAAAGCTAGACTTGTGTTTTTGCTTTTATATCAGTGTGGAGGTCAACTACACTCAGCGCACGGGAAACATTCACTATCGAAAGTAACAGCATGTCATTCAATCTCATATTACACAAAGACTCGATTCCATCTAGTCTATCAAACTCCCTCAAATTAACTCTAATTAGGTCTTCACCCACTATTGCATGGAAATATTCGCTAATTTCTTACTGAAAAGCTTGAAGACAAAGTTACTGCAAATAGATGATCGCACAAATATGCTTTTTTCAAAATATTCAGAGAGAATTTTGAAATTATGCAGATCAAACATCTTTTCAAACAAGTCAGTCATATGTATATTGTAAATATATTTTGTTATTCACAAAGCATCTTTATATTTGCTGTGATTTGCAAATATCTTGTAATAATGTAACTACAACAAACAAAACTACAGTGATCACCAATCAGAAATTTCATCATCATGAGCATGTCAGTATATATAACAGTGTGTATATTTAAATATAAAGACGTCGTCGTCGATTTTGCTTCTCCTTATAATATTCCCTGCAATGAACCTGATCATATTTCTCATCTGTTTATATCCAGTTAATGCTGAGATAATCAAGATTCCATTGCGTCCAGCGACTGGAATCAGTTCAATCCTGAATCCCTATCGAAAACTGTTTAGGCTATTACAAAGAAGCTGGGCGAATTTACTGAATGGCGGAGCTACACCAACATCAGAACACCTGTACAATTATCAAATGTAAGTGTGTTAGGTTAAATGTCAGCTCTCATACATTTGGTTTCCTTGATAAATTTCTATAAAGAAAGTAGGAGAGACAAGATTCTCAGTATGAAATGATATCATCATTCTACTTCATTGGTTCTAATCAGCAGAAATCTCCCTGGAATACCAGTGTTTATAAATAGTGCAATAATAAACTTCATTGTATAAATGGTAGTAGAGAAAACATCCTAAAATCAACGCAACTCAAAAATGTAAAAATTACAGTTGGCCTTAGTTTCAATTACCATCAGTTTATACGCTTTCAAAATAGAAAAGGCGGAGGAGGGTAAGAAGCAGATAGAAAGCAGAAAATTGTAATACGCAGTGTTGGCTTGTAGGTCTAAATAGTAACTCAGGAGAGTTAATGGAATCTAGATCAGTGAGTTGAAATCACTTATATCAACGACGAATCAGTGAAATCAGAATGGAGTAAGCGAGTGAGTGACAAATAGATTGCACTCCCTTTTTTCTATATGCTTAAGATTGGTTTGAAACGCTTCATTGTAATCGCCTCAGGAAATCGTACTGAATTTGATGTCATTTTATGCCTAATATTATGAAGGTTTTGGAAATTTTGAGGAAATGAACCGTATGCACGAGGCATCTGATGACCTCACTTCCGAATACCTGTCTCAATCAAGACAAAAGTATATTAGAGTATTCTCCGAAACCCATATAGAAATCCAGTTTGATTTGGCTTACGGTGCTGAATATCGATAGAAGCTGAGCTGCCCGAAGGATGCATTTTCATTCCCACTTTGTTTTTCTCTTATCAATCATTTGTGATACTGAATGGGAGACAAATGAACACTTTCTTCTTCCAGCAGTTAGATGTTTCCTTTCCTCACCCCATCCTTGGCCGTACTTTCGGATAAATCCACAAAGCAATTTAGTAAATTGGATGGTGTTCTGTTAAATCTAGACGATGAAATAATGAACATTTATAGTTAGTGTGCTTCTAAGCACCTATTGTTAGATGACAGTACATTTTTGAAGGAGAGTGAATGTCCCACTGAATATTTACGAAGAGCAGTTACAGTCTCCTTTACCGCGTTAAACGATAGTCACTGTAACTAAAACCAGTTTGGATACAGTGGTGGAACTTTGGGACATTTCGAGTGACTATTTTGATCAAAAACAATTAATTAGAACAAATCTAGTTTCTCTCACTTTATTTACGAATAACAGAACGACTCCAACTTCCTCTCAACCCCTTTCATTTCGCAAATATTTGCCTTTTCTAATGGACATGATGGTATTTAGTCACCTTATAATCGTAATATTCTTTTAAGATTCAGTACTACGGAGAAGTGCTTGTAGGAACTCCACCACAAACGTTTCGTGTACTCTTCGACACAGGATCAACCGACGCCTGGTTCCCCTCAAGAAAATGTTGGTTTCTTGATATTCCCTGTTGGTTCATTCGATTTTATGACAGTTCGAAGTCGTCTACTTATCAGCGAAATGGCACAAGTTTTGAAGTCAATTATTTGGACAGTAGTTTTGATGGATTTTGGAGCATGGATACAATACAGGTAGTGTGTTCGTATGATTCGAAGCGACAGTGATTTTAGATAAACTCTTTAGTTATTCGCAATCAGGCATTTGCAGAAGTCACTGATGTATTTTCCAGCAGTTTTTTCGGCAGTAAATATGATGGAACAATTGGTATGTCATGTGAAAAGTTATCCGAATACGGAAACACTCCTGTCTTTCCAAATATACTCGCTCAAGGAGTGAAGATGGATCCAATATTCTCATTCTATTTGAACGGGTATGTATACATGTGAAGTATAATTAGTTGTATGGATATAAATTTATATTGTTATGAAAATGCTTTATTTGCATTTTACCACTTATTCACGAGAACGTGGGTCGTCCGAGAGAATAAACGAGATCCAAATCAAACTGATAATTCTGAGTAGCAGTATTTGAACTCCAACTCATCATGTGATGAATCTAAATTAACATACTTCACTAGTTCATTGCAACTAAATTTCGCTGCGCTCATTTGTGCTGGAATTGCATTTCTAGTGCATAACTATTGGTCAGATCTCAGAAACTCGAGTTCAAATGTCTGGATAATCTTTCCTTGGGTGGATATTTCATTTTTATGCAAATATCCAGTTCTACATACCATTTCACTTGACATACTGTACATACCAAGTGAAATCCAAATTTTGAATGTTGACCAGTTCCTGTGTTCTATGGTGTGTCAAAGCCGATTTACGACTTATCGTTTCAAAATATTTTGTTGCCTTATTGCATTAGAAGAATAGAGGATCGTTTCCATCTCTAATGTGATGTACTGAGTTTACCTGAGGAAACATTCTCGTCTGTCGTTAGTTTCCACCTGGCCTGCGAATACGGATAGAATGTTGAAGTCAAATACAGGGCAAACAATTATCAATCTTATCGGCCAATCTGCTTTGTATGTTAACTCTTATGTGTCATGAGGACAGTTCACATCACCATGATCACGATCATTCATTGATTAGTACGAACATCAATTTAGTACTCGATGCATCCTAAATCAATCTCATTTTGTACATTGTACAGGAAAGATGGTGCTGTCGTTGGTGGAGAGATGGTACTCGGTGGTGTTAATACTGAGTATTTTACCGGAGAGTTTGAAGTCTTACCCGTCGTTCTCAAAACAAGATGGGCTGTTGCAATGAAAAGGTAGTTAACTTGTGTCCGTTTAATCTGAATGTGTTCCCCTGTTAATGTGTGTAAATTCTGGTAGATCGAAAGTGAATAAAGATTTTGGGAAAGAATTTCTTCAGGTGATTGAATTTTATAGCTGTTCAACCAACTTTTTGATTGGGTTTAGATGAGGAACACGAAATGTATTCACGAGTTAGGAAACAGATTTATTCAGAGGAAGGTGTGTTCCTTCAATTACTATGTTATCTTCGTTCCTTCATTTTCGCCAAGCAAAATTTTCACCTGTTTCGCTCGCTGGCGATATGCACCTATTTCGTATGACAAACAGAAATATGAAGATTTAATTCACTCATACTGCCATTAAATGTTGATGGCAAACAATTTTAATATGGGGTAGTGTATGCAGTCTTAAAGGGAGCAGCTGAAAGGAAGTGTTTGCCTATACTGTGTTCTCTAATTTCAGGTAATTATCAAAGTAGTTGTCTCCTTCTAACTGATACGTGTGTGCTAAATACCCACAAGCGATGGGAATACCACAAAATGCTCACAGTTGAGATGAGCAGTTTTACATCACGCATATCTATCAGCCAGTAGTGCCTGCCTGCCTTCCAGATCGAGGTGGGATGAACGACGGAAGTGTTTTTCTCTTGATTGTGGATTCGCTCATCAGTGGTACATCCGACCTGACTCAGCTTGGAGAGATGAACCAGTTCAATACATCTCTTTTTATGGTTAGGTACTAGGGCGAAATGGTGATACCATAAAGAGAATTCACAATTTGAAGATGGCTGGCGGTTTTATCTGTGTTGATACCTATCTGGACAGCTAGCCTTCTTCCTATGTGATATAGTCATCTCAGACCCATTTTGATAATAACCAGTGTTTCAATGGGTATCTAGAATGATAATTGATCACAATTATCAATATTATCACCACGAACATTAAATTTCAAATCACAGGGAACCCATGACTACTACTGTTATGATCAATAATGTTATAACTATGTTGGTAGCATCAATGTTGAATGAGGATATCTAATTGATATGTGAATAGCATTTCAATGATTGTTCTGATTATTGTTATCATTAACCGGAATAACTGATTGTAATGAAAAGAAAATTTTGCATTGGTGCTTGAGTGAGAGGGAATTAATGAAGCGGACTTCATACTGACAGTCTGACCGATATTTGTGATAAAATCCAATCACTAAATTCGAATGTTTGCAAACAATTTCAGCTTCACGATAAATGGAGTGGACTACTGCAATTCAGCATGTATTAGTATGATAGATACAGGGACATCCTTGATACTGGGATCCAACGATTTGGTGGATGAGATTAATTCCAGACTTGGCGCCACGAAGAGTGGGATGGAGAGTATGTATTCGACTGCAGTATTATTGACAAGCTCCCTCCAGTCGAGATTGTCTTCGAGAGAAGGAAATATGTGCTTGAGGCGAAGGATTACATAGTCAAGGTAAGTATGAGTCTCTAGTTGAATTTTTCGGAGTTTTTTGAATGTGACACGCCAACGCGAACTCTTACTCCATGTATGAGAATGCAACGCACTTTAAAATCCTCATAGGTGCAATCACTTTTGTTGTTTGCAGTAATGTATGAATGAGAATTCCTCATTGTCCATTTAGTTTTATTCTGATGTGATTTCGTGCTGATTAAGTCCTGGTCATTCGCTACAATTTGTCCACATTGGGTTGACAACATCCTTTGATGGTTTCTCAGCACTAGTAATAACCGCTTTCTCACTGATATGTGCGCTCACTCGTTATCATCGTCTCCGATTTACTGACTGCCTACATGGATATTGACTGTCCTTATACAACCCACATAAAGGCTGTAGATTGGTGTTCTGTGGGAGATCAACAGCTTTCTTCGCATTGTTTATGCGTCTTATAATGAAAATTATCGAAAGTAACATATGCGTTTCTCCACTCCTTTTCCGGACTTAATGGTGTTCTGTATTGCTTTTCTGTCCAACAACATCAAACATGATCTTCTATTGATATTGCTGCAGCATAAGGTCACTTAGCATGCTTCCGCCATCAGGACCACTAGAACGTGTTGTCTTGACTTTGAACGTGCCAACAGGTTCACTCTAACGCAGTCATTTATTTCATCTATCTGTGCTGACTGTAAATTATCACAGTTTTCAACCTCTTCTTTTATCAGCTCCAGCTTCAGCAATATAATGTACATTCAAACAATCTTGACCAGGTGTTTGGTCTTTGACTGTTATTCACAGTTGCATGCGAATGTTTCACTCCCATTCTTATACTGTTTGAATGTATGCAATCATCAAATTCAACTGATATACTTCTGTTAAACTTGAAGTATTAAAATACAGCTAATATCTTTGGCTGTGTCGATGTAACTGATAATTCCGTAGTTTCTAAAACGATTGAATTAATTGACCAGATAGATTCGGCTTCTGATACATCGAATCTGATTTTCATTTCATGATTTCGAAGTGGAAACAGTGCATACAAGATATTTTATTTTTCGGTTTCAGGATTCCAACCTGATCTTTACACACTGTGTGTCGGCCATCGCGAGTAATGACAACATACATCCAGGATTTTGGGTTCTTGGCGATGCATTCATGAAGAAGTTTTATACCGTATTCGATTTCGGTGGCAGAAAGATAAGATTGGCTGATGTTAACGATGGATGACGCTTGTTGTACCACCACTACACTACCACGTAGTTTGCAAAGTAATTTGAGGAATTCTTATTTGCACAAATGATTTCTCCTTCAAGATATTTTAGAAACTGGACAGATGTGGTAAATACAGCTTTCAACCTAGTCTTTGATATGTGACATTATAATGACTGTGAGGACTAGCCTACTTTGACTGCTTCGAATATTAGAAATCTAACTTTCTGTGAAGACCACTTCGTGATAGAAATGAACATTGATTATTCTAGAATGATTAGTGCAGTAAATAAGCCATCAAGTTGTTTAAATCAATCGGAGAGTATTCAGTCTCCCTATCAGTAATTCACGACGTTATAAATGGTACGCACTGAAACCTGCTAGAGTCACTCCGGTTTGGACGACTATTTTAACATATAGAAAGAAATTATCAGCATGCATAACTCGGTCTTCGATTAGCGAAACACAGGATTCCGTTGAGGCAAATCAAAGTACACGTCGTGTTGGTTGCGATTTCGTGAGCTCCACTAATCTTGATGTTCTTGATATTTGAATGCATCTCAAGCTGCTTCCTTATTCACCGTTTTGGACATATTTCGAGATATTAGAAAGTACTCAGAGAACTCCCATTTCTGCACCGAGGTTCTATGAGAGAATACTCCTTCAAATGTTCTTTCTATTTTCCGACAAAACGTTCGCTCATGGTTTGAAAAGACTACGGAAAATCGAATGCACTCGAGGACATCATCTGCGATATCTGCTCAGCATTTCTCTTTGTTGGGAGTCACCTTGCTTCCACATGTCATGTTTACTTTCGTGTTGTTCAAATGTGATGAATAACTGGAGTCGGATTTCAGTTCCTCTTGGGACGCATATGTGATATCTTGAAATGGAGATCAGGCTCGAATGAGAATATTGAGAAGTAGTTTCCTCCGGATGTTTGCATTCTGCCATGATGGTCGAGCCGAAATTAGTTACTGAGATTATTATCGCCGCCTGGATTTGGAATGATTCTGCAATCGGGTTAAAGAGCCAATTGCAGCAAGGCGTTTCCCTCAATTAATGAAAACGAGATACAAATGATGGCGTTTTTAAAACGGTCGATATAAAAATTGGGACACATACTGATATCTCTAGTATCTGTATACAGTTTTAGAGTTCACTGAATGGCGGGTATTTCCCTGATTCTGTCACAAAGGTACAGTTTACTATCAACTTCGTGTATCTGTCTCTCGTGCTCCGAATCCAAAAAACACTAGTGATGTTTCTCTTTCAAGAAGTAGATGAACAAATGAATGGTTGTGTCTTGAGCAGTCACAAGATTGCAGCCATTTACACATTTTCATAATCACACAGTTTTGCTCATTCATCATCCGTCTTCATCTCCATGATTTCCTTCCAGATTTCACTTTATTGTTTAGATTTTTGCTCCTCTCATCTTGAAACTGTGATTATTGACTGCAAAATGAGACGGCGGAACATGGATCTGAGTTCCATGAATTCACTATTCACATCTGACATTAAAAGCGGAGTGGTCTGAAAATGATCTCAAATAGGCAAATAAGTCTCACACGTCGAAATTCTGGTATTTCAGACACTGAGACATTCACTTAACATAATGACAATAACAGCTTCATTGAGTACAAAATGTTCACACAATATTCAGAATATTTAGCGTAGTCTATCGCGTAAATTTTTCTCTTCGTGCAACATCTTCCAGCAAAACAGAAATCTAAAGTACAGTATGTGACACATTGCTGTTCGGTCTGAATAATAAAGTAATCTTTCATGGTATTTTTCCGTCGTTACCGGAAGATACTTAGGAGTAGATTGAAAGCAAATAATAACTGTGCGTGAATGCACTCGAAAGCTCAGGGACATAATTGAATGGTTGAATTAAGGAGATTATAGAAAATTGTATGCATTATGTAAGATGAATTTTATGGTAGTTCAGCAATTCAAACAGGTCGCTGTTTCCACATTCAAATAAATCCTAATTTGCTAACATGCTAAATCTATGAGACTCACTCCACTGATTCCTAAAGATTATTTCAATAGTCGCTGTAAACTGTCAGTGTAATGGTGCCATCCATCTCTGCAGTAAAGTATGCGATGATGACGAAATATCTAACAACTCATTGATACATTTCTGAAATCCGCCAATACGAAGTCATTGATTGTAGTTCGGGAGATATAAGTGATTATGTCATTCAGGAGATGTATACATTATTTCTCAGAAACACACAAAATGTAGCATATTTGCGTCTAAGTACATCATTCAACCAGGGTTGCTAAGCCTAACATGAATGCATATATCGGATATCTTTAGTTTCCCACGAAGTAAATAAATAAGTGACTGTCTCTCACAATCATATTCAGCTAAGCATTGTCTCTGGCTAGCATTAATTTGGAGCATAACCAGAGGTCAGTGCATCACTTGGCGACGTGATAACCGCTATGATGGCGTCTATGAATGTCCTATGTAGCCATTATTGTTATCATTAATACAATTATTATTGTATTATTTTTGTTCCCTTAGGTTCGTAGTGTAACATAAGGCTTCAACTGCACGTCTTCAATTGCTTCTGTCTTCTGCTGTACTTTACACCTGCATCCATGTTAGTCCATACTGTTTCAACTCCACTTCACACGATTTCCTCCATGTCACCCTTGGACTTCCCACTCGCTGCTTCCCTTTTGGGTTCTACTCGAGCAATGGCTGGTTTGTCGGTTTTCGCTTGTAAGTCTTCGATTTTGTGTGACATCAAACCTAATTCATCCACGCGCGAAATCCAAGTCTTCTAGGTTCTTCACGTTGGTCCAGACAGGATATCCCTCTCTTCTCGTTTCCCACTGTCTGATGCATAATCCAGTCCACCACAATTAGGAATATCATTGGTGATAATAATCACCCTTGTCTGACTCCTGTGTTTACTCCAAACGCCTCGCTGAGTTTTCCGTTGTGGATCACTTGACATGTGCCGTTGTCGTACAGCTGTTGAATAAGGTTGATGAATATTTGGGGTACGCCGTAGTACTCGAGTAATTTCCAAATTACTTCGCGGTCAACGCTGTCGAAGGCCTTCTCAAAGTCTATAAAGTTGAGGTAGAGGTTTGATCGCCATTCCATGCTTTGTTCTGTGATGATGATGCGTAGAGTTGCAATTTGGTCAGTACATGATTTGCCTTTCCTGAATCCAGCTTGTTCTGGTCGGAGTTCTGTCTCCAGTGCGTCCTTTAATCTCTCCAGGATGATGCGACTCAGGATTTTACTTGGCATCGACAGGAGCATGACTCCTCGTCAGTTCTTGCAGACTCCTTAGTCGCCCTTCTTTGGTAGTTTCACGAGGTAACCTTTCCTCCAGCAAGTAAGCACCTTTCCCTCCTTCCAGACCTTTTGCAATAATCGAGTCAGCATATCTGTTGTCGTTTCTGGGTCCGCTTTCAGTGCTTCAGGGGGTATTCCATCTGGTCCAGCTGCTTTTCCAGCTTTCAGAAGCTTGATTGCATTCAAGACTTCAAGTTTCGTTGGAGGATTGGTGTCAACTTGCAGTTGTTTACGTGATGTTGTTGGTATTTCTGGACGGGTTGCAGGTGGTGGTCGGTTCAAGAGTCCTTTGAAGTGATCCGCCCATTGTTTAATCTGTTTTTCTTCCTTGGTAATGTGGTTCCCTTGGCTGTCTTTTATAGGTTTCGCTTGTGTTGATCTCTTCCTGGATAGAGACTTGGTTATCTGATATAGTGTCCTCAGATCCTTTTTCCTGCTGCCTTCTCAGCTTCAGTGGCCAGATTGTCGTAGAATCGTCTTTTGTCCTTCCTAGCACTCTTCTTCACTTCTTTGTCCAGTGCTGTGTAAGTTGAGCTCAGCGTCTCCTTCTCTTGTCCGTCCTTGCATTGAATCATTTTCTCTTTCACCATTCTCTCTCTCTATTAGTTTCCAAGTGTCCGTTGAGAGCCATTCCTTGTCTTGTCTCTTCTTTCTTCCTAAAACCGTTGAACACGTTTCGTTGAGAATCGCCTTCAGAGACTTCCAATGTTCTTCCACGCATGATTCTTCAGTGATGTCACGTAGTGTTTCCTGCTTTGCTCTGACAGTTGCAGTGAAAGTGTCTTTTGTGGTTGTGTCCTTCAGTTTTGAGTGTTGAACTTGCATTGTGGTCTATTCCCAGCTATCCTCGAGGCTTTTAGCTTCACCTTGAAAGTCCCTTCTACTAGATAGTGGTCTGAACCCACATCTGCTCCTCTCCTTGACCTTGTGTCCAGTAGGCTCCGTCTCCACTTCCTTGAGATTGAAATGAACTATTTTGGTTTTGGTGTTTCCATCTGGTGAAATCCATGTCGTCTTGTGTATATCCTTGTGTTTGAACACACTAACACCAATCACCAAATCATTGAAGGCGCAGAAGTCTGAGAAGAGTTCACCATTGTCGTTCATTTCACCGAGGGCCTCACGACCCATGGTGAGTTCTCTTCCTGTGTTGTCTCCTCCCAGCTTCGCATTCATGTCGCCCATCAGGATTTTGATATCGCCATTTGGGACGTTGTCCATTACTGTTTGTAGTTGTCTGTAGAACGCCTCCTTCTTCTCTTGTTCTGAGACGTTTGTAGGCGCATAGCATTGAATGACTGTAACTTTCCTTCCTTTTGAGTTGAACCTGGCTGTCATTATCCTGGAGGAGATTGGTTCCCACTGCATGAGAGCTTTGGCTGCTGTTGGTGACATCATGATGGCCACTCCCTCGGTGTGCTCGTGGTTGTCCTCTGGGTGGCCGGAATAGATTACTGTCTCTCCAGTAGGTAGTTGGCACCTTCCAGTTCCGTTCCATCTGCTCTCGCAGATTCCCAACACTTCTATTCTGTACCTTCTCATTTCAGCGGCTATCTGGGCAGCCTTTCCAGTTTCGTACATTGTACGAACATTCCAGGTACCCATCCTTACTTTTGCTTTCATCGAAAGAAGGCACATCGGCTGACTGGCTTCCCGAAGGCTAGCTTTCACCAGCCTGCGTCATTTCACTTCCCCGATTCCAGCGAAAAATAAGGTTATTGTTTATATTTTCAGTATTTTAGTATATTTGTGCGTTAAGTTTCTGTAGTGATTTGGTTATGTTTTAGGGGTGGAGTTGCTAACAGCACGCCCCAACCCCCTCTT